TCTAATTTGTTTTTTTTTTCTACTGAAAACATCTGCAACAGCCAAAAATCCAGATTCCACCCTCCATGTCGTAGAGAGAGAAATGATGCTTGCTTTTACATGTTGAAAAATATTTGGGTGTGAGTCCTTTTATCAATATGTAGGCAAAGACACTGTCAACTCTTCTTAGTTTTGCATTCTCTTTCAAATCTAGTGACATTTCAACCAACTCAACATATTTATCTGGTTTATAATTTTCTAGTTCTGCAAACCAGTGTGGATAATCCATCTTTAATAGATCATTGTATCTTTTCTCAAGTCTACATGAAGACATTTAAGATGGGAAATGCATGCAGCAATGAATTCTGATTTAGGGGCAGTGGTGTTGAAATTTTGAAATGATGCCAAATTTTTTTCTCAAACTGTTTTTGCAAAAATTTCAATTTCTCCATATAGCCTTTTATCTTCTGAGCACAGGTGACTAAATCTAATCTTCTACATTGCATCTCTAAGTTAAGCAGATTCACTGTTTTAAAAATATCACTCAGGTAGAATATTTTTGATTTAAACTAAGGAAGTCTTTCCCAAAATTTCCTTAAATGTATCAGCTTTGCTTCTTGGAGTTGTAATGAATCATTTGGGACTTGAACATGAGAAACTTGATTAATGCTTCCCACAAATTCATTAGTCTTTTAAGACTCAGGCCTTTTGACAACCATCTTACTTGTGTGAAGCAATAGGATTTTAAAATTTTCATCTTCACAGAATTGCACAAAAAATCTATCATTCATTGAGTTTGATTTGACAAAATTAATTGCATCTATGGCAGTGTTGAGTGCTTCTTGCATGTCTCCTCCAATATTCTTAGCAACCAAATGCTGTCTGTGGATAATGCAATGGACATAAAAGATGTGAGGAGCAACTGATTTCATTCTAGAAACAAAGCCTTTCACTTTTCTTATGGCAGCAGCTCCATCTGATGCAATGTTGATCAAATTAGTCAATGGAATATTTTTATCATTAAAATACTGCATTACTTCATTGAATATATCATCACCATTAGTAGTTTCAAGCAAACTTTTAATGGATAACATTTCTTTTCTTATATCATCTTCATGGGTGGATCAGACATAGACCAGAAGGATAGTTTGGTTATCAATTGTGCTCTCATCAACCTCGATAGAAAACTTTGTCTTTTGCAGAATTTTCACCATCTTCAACAAAATTAGACATTGCATCCTGCCTTTTAGTAATAGTGTCATTTGAAAGTGGAATTCTACTCAGGGTAGATGTAGCATGTGCTCCAACCTTGGCAATAATTTCAGAGATCAAATAACTTAGTTTGAGTGTCTTTGCTTTTGCAGTATTCACCTTCTTTTCATAGTCCAATAGTTTGACTGGCTATCTTTTCTTTTTATTCTCAAAATATTCCCTATCTTTATCAACAGATGATGGATTTGGTGCTGTTCCAGCTTAACTTTCTCCATGGAATCATTTGTCAAGATGGCATCACACACCAGGTTTTGAGCCTACAGATACAAAGCCAAATATGATAAAATCTTCTCTGTAATTCCTCAGATTTGCCATTTTAGCATTTGGTTTAGAAATTCTTACAACTGTTCTAAAAAAGTAATAAAAATAATACTGTATTTCTATAAATTAGAAATATCAAATTTATTATCAAACAATATTGTGTAGTGATCTATTAACATAGGGATAATTTTTTATGAATAAAAATTTATATTATATATAGTATATATAACATTTTATATATATATATATATATATAATAAATATATAGGATAAAAAAATAAAATAAATATAGCACTGCATAATACGTATGTAATTTTGAAATTTTCAAATATAATGGACATGTGTGTAATTAAACAAAATATATTTTTTAATTCTTCAAAGTATGACTAATTTAGATACATTTTTGTGAAATGGCTACAATTTTTTTATGGCTACGAATTCTCTCTGGACTATTAGAAATGCTATTTGGACCACTGGTATTCCACCTGGACCCTGTTGAGAATCACTGCTCTAGAGGATAGTCTGTCCTGGGCAGAGGCTGGGGTGGGGATTCCCTAGAGATAGCATTAGCTAGACAGGCTCTGGAGCATGAGGCTAACAAACACTATCAGGGTCAGGTAATTAGACATAGGTTAAACAAGATGTGTAATGAAGCTATGAATAGGGGTGCAGAATTGTGCAAAGAAGAAATTTGCAAGGTCAGTACCCCAGAGGGGCATACTTTGAGGTCGACCGAGGGTATGTGTGAGGCCTGGTCTCAGTGGTGACAAGTTTCACAGCTATTTGGCTGACTTTTGTCAACTGAAGCTAGCTGCGAGGGTGAGATCACAGAGGGTGAAGTTCACTTGGCATTGAAGAAATTTGGCAGTGCCAAGTTTCCAGGACTTGATGGTCTGCCCTTTGAATTGTACTTGAGGCTATTGCATGTCTCTGTTCCAGTTTTGACAGTCAAATATTTCCGGCAGGGGTCCATACCCAATCAGATCTCCAGGCGTGTGATCACATTGTTGAAAAAGGCAAGGGTGTTGCATGGGAATTAAATGACTATAGGCACATAACCCTGCTAAACACAGAGTGAAAGATTTTGGCCAGGATCCTGATGGAGTGTTTGCAGTATGTTGTCACAAGCTTGTTGGGACCCGAACAGACTGGTGCTGTGAAGGGATGAACAATTCAAAGCAACCTGCATCTGGTCAGCATGATTATAGAGGGTGCAGAAGATGATGAGGAAGTCATGCTGATCAATTTAGATCAGTCCAAGGCATCCTTGGAGTGTGGTTTGGGCCCAGTCTCCAGCTGAAGAAGAATTGGTATGAAGTACAGTCAAAGGTCAAAGCAGCAGTTCAGACTTGGCTTCAACAGCAGTTGTTCATAAAGAGTAAGGCGAAGGTGCATGCCACTTATGTCTTTTCAATTATCTTTTGTTGATTGGCTGTACTTCCTCTCTACAAGAACAGAAAGATGGCACTCAATCACTTGTTGGCTTCCCTCTTGTGGGGTGGTTGTAGGCATCTGGTCTGTAGAGAGACTGTTGTCTAACATCTGTGTCATGGGAGGCTGGGAATGATGCACTTGTTGTGCCATCAACAAACTTAAAGGTTGGTGTTCCTATGCTGTGTGTTGATGGAAGATTCGATTTTGGAAGGGAATATTAGGGACACCTTCCATAGCATTAGCATCACTCTCTCTGTTTCTGAGTCTGTGCACCATTTTAAGCTCTGGAATCAATCAAAATTCCTTCGAGAGTGTCAGGCGACATTAAGGGGTAGATGGTGTTTCTCATATTGCTAGCTGTGGCAAGTGATATGGATGTTGTGAATGAAGGGAAATTGCGATATGAGAATTATTCTCATCAGGATCTGGTTGAATTCTTTGAGCATCAGCTCAGAATGAAGATAAGATCTGATAAAAAGTGTTTGATATTGACAGATTTCAGCTAAAGGTGGGTATCTGTGGTGAGCCTGGTTCATGTGAACAGGACTAACCTTGATTTTCTCTTCCAGGTCTCCTTGAGCACAACAGGGTGGTTTCCTGTAAACTCTCCCCTGGTCAAGTTAGATATTTCTTGTTTTCCTAGTTAATGTGAATAAGTGTTGTTCCTGACATTCTCTTTTGTTATGATCTATGTTGAGATTCCCAACCTCCCCAGTTTGTTTTTGTACCTTTTTTTCATCTTGGCTGGTTCAGCCTTTGATTTTCCAATTCTATAAGTGAGTGTGCTGCTTGATTCTGTCTACTGGCAGAATACAACAGCCACTCTTATTATTTTGAGGGGTGGACAGGTCCTACTAACAACTATTTTGTTTTTGTTGTACTCTTTAGTTTTGTTTTTGGGTTCAATTTTGTATTAAAAGTGCAAAATAAATATTCATTCCTCATGGGATTGAAACCAACAAGCATCAAAGATTTTATTCTATCAACAATTATCTGGAAAATGACACTGGCGGTAAGTCAGAATTTTAACATGCACACAAATGAAATAATGTCTTGTATCTTTTTTTTATTTCATTGACAGCATGTTAAATCCATAAACACTTTAAAAAAATAATTTCACCCCAAGCAAATAAAACCAATAAGATACAAGGGGTTACTGAGTCTGAGAGAATATGAAAGAAAAAAGAAAAATATTATTAAGGAGAGAGAACAATAAAAGAACAGGAATTAAGAAGACAGAAGATAATGATTAACATTACATTAAAATTTGTGAAGATCAAAGTTGACAGGAAAGCAACAAGCCAGAAGAGAGTTCCATAAGTGAAAAGTGCAAAAAAAAAAACTGTTAGCATAGAATTTATGATTGCATCTGACCATTTCAACTGTAAAATGATGAGACTTGCCACCAATGTATTTATATAAAAGGGAAAGTGATTGAAGACTAGATGTCATGTTAGGACCAATAACATTGCAGAGTCTTCTTTGAATTTTATGGAGAATCTCTAAATATATAGCAGGAGCACTAGACCAGATATGGCAGCAATATTCAATGCATGGATGAACGGTAGACTTGTAAAACCTATCCTGATCCCACTGGATTGATGTACTCTACAAGACTGGCCGTTGGTCTTGTCCTCGTCCAGTATTACAGGTTCAATCAAAATCTCCAGTTCACAATGTCGATTCGATTCCACTTTCCAACCACGTTGCAATTTTTTTGATCCTGGAGAGCAATTAACAAATCGTAGATCCCGGAAGATTCAGCTGGTGTACCTGCAAGTTTGTTGGGGCGAGAATTGGGCCAAGCAGAAAAATCAAATATGAACAAGCTGATTTGAGTCCAAAGAAAAATTTATGTATATGTATGTAAGGAAGAAATTGGTACAAAAAGAATAATGTTTCTTTTACAAGAAAGTAGTGTATATGAAATAAAGTTCAGAAAAAAAAACAAAACAAATATAGCAAATAATTCTGAAAGGAGAGAAGTAGTTTTCAGTTTCACCCTTTTTTTGTTCTTAGTAGTTGCTGTAATTATTTCACTATCATGTTATAAGAGGGTTCACTGGTGGTATTGTGACAATATTGCAGATAACTTGAGTTCACTTCCTCCCTTATTACAGCAGCAAGCAGACGCTTTCACTCTCACTGCCTATCTCTTCCTCGACAACACACTTCACCCAGTTTGACTTCAACTCCGACTTTTGTTGCACAAACACACCCTTAAGTAAACGCAGTGGTAGCAACAAAAACCTGTAGTGCTGTTAAACATAGAATACAACCTGATTACTGACCTTTCTCCTTTCGTGATTAAATGAACAGTCTCTTCTTCTCAATTGGTATTCCATAGTTCATAGAAACACTATTGTTTTGACATTTTATATTAATAATTCTGACGAAGCACAGATTCTCTGGGCACAAACTTGACCACAGATTATTTTTCTCATCTATAAACAAAATTCTATATTACTATAATTATTAATATTTTAAGGGTAACCATTATTCTCTGACACAGACTTCTAAATATGTAAGTAGACTCTGGAGAGAAAATTGATTTAATATAATCTTTCCACTTCAAGTCAGTAGAAAATGTTAACTTGAGAATAAGCAAGGGGTCACTCTCTTAGAGGTTAGCATCCGCTATGCTGATGGAAGGCAGAAAATGGTCTCTCAGATAAGTACTGAAATCAGATCAATACCAATTTCAGATTAAGTGGAATGAACTTTCTCAATTACTGTTCATGTTAGCTGCAAAATTAATCTCATAATCTATCCTCTGATATAAAAGAAGTATTTACTTTTTTTTTTTAATAAGAATAGAATTTAAGAGTGATGTATTCATAATTCAAATCTTTTCCATTTCTTATCATCTAATGCAAACTTTTTTCACAGAGGCCAGATAACTGAGAGAGTGACGATTTCATTCGTACACTGAATACACAAAAAAATGAAGACAACAAACATTTATTTACCAAAAACTTATCAAAGGCAGTGAGTTTAGCAACAAAATATTTATATTACACCCAGAGCACACATATTTGAATCAAACAAACTAAGCAGCAAAAAAGGTTAGTGAGATTTGGGAAACTGGCATTTATCTTTTAAGATATAATCAATATTTGCTTTGGAATTGCTACATTCAACCAAGAGAATTGCTTTCAAATGTTCATCAGTTAACCTTGTTTGATATGTTGACTTTACATACTTCATTTTTGAAAATATTTGATCAAAGACATAAGTTGTTCCTTTTTCTTAGAAACTTCATTGTAGGTACTTACACAAAAAGCACTCAGATATCAAAAGTTGCCAAATTTTTTATTTCACTGATTTTCCTAAAACTTATATTATTGTCAGATGTAAAAATCAGATTTGGCAAATTTTAGCATTTTTGTTTACATTTACTTTAATTTGTTCTACACAGTAAGTTTAATTACAATCTATTGATAATTCCATATAAACTATTATATTTTAGCTCATTTATGGCACAGTGCAGTGGCAGGCTGGATGAACAGATAATGTGGGCTGGATCCAGCTTGTAGTTTGATGACCCCTGATCTAAGGCAGATTTTTTTATTACCTCTCTATTAAACCTCTACCCATCAAAATATCCTTTGGGATTTAAACCTCAAATAAATTTGCTGAATTGACTTTTATCTTGGTTATATTTTGTAAATTCTTGCTTTGAAGGCAGGAATCCAATTTAGAGCATTAAGATGAGTATGGCACAAGGTCTTAAATATGGGGTACCCAGTGAGCATCAAAATCACTACTCTGCAGTAATGGTCATCCAGAATAACTCACTAAACATGACAACTTCCCTGAGGTACCCACTCATATAAGTTTGTTTCAATAAAATGTCCCTCTTATGACAATGTGGAGTGAGAGGAATGCAACCTTTTTCTTTTTATAGGAAATATAAATTTAGATTTCTAAATTCTACCTCTAAGATTATCCATTATTTCATATCTCTACTCTTCTTTCACTTTTTACCTGTATCTTCTCATTCATTCCCTTATTCCAAACTATGTACATTGTCCATCTATGTTTTTATCTACTGCTTGATATCTAAGTACCAAGCCTCTCTTTCTTTTGTCTCCATTCCTCTCTATTTGGTCCTGCATTGAAAAACATAACCATTGAACATATAAACAAACAGAATAAAAGTTGAAAAAATTAGTTATTTTTTTTTTTTTTTTTTTTTTGTGCACTCATGCAGAACCATTACTCCTTGATTTTGTCCTACCATTCTCAAAAGCCCTAAACTCTTTGAGTCATTTGGAAAAAATTTCATTTTATTTGTAACACTATTTAGGTTGCTGTTAATTAATAATAATATTGAATTGGAATATCAACAAAAATGAGATATTGATGAATAAACTACTATGAAAAGGGTTAAATGAATATCAGGAATGAGAGACTGATAACAATTGATTCATAGAGAATCAAGGTTTATAAAATGAACCAGGTGACTGGCTGAGAGCAATGCTTGGTTTGTACGACAGGCCAAGTGTTGACAGTATTCGACAAACAGCGCCTGTGAAATCAATATGAGGGGAATTGGGTTAAATGCCAGTTACAAATAAAATCTTTTTGCAGAAATGTCAGGATTGAAAACAATAAGCTGAACACCTGCAGATATGTTGACCTCCAGCTGAACTAATTGTCACCATAATGTGAGTAGCAAAATTTTCCCTGGGAAAGTGTCTCTTGGATCAAAGGCAAGAAAGCCAATTGTTGTGTCAATTCACTTATGAGATGATAGCATTTGGAACAATATTTTTTTTTAATTAGTCTTCAACCGAATGATGGAGGTGACAGGTGCAGAAGAACATTCAAAGAAAGAGGAGGGGGCTGTCTGCACCCACTGAAGGGTAGCAGACACAGATGGGACATTAAGGAGGTTGAAGGAGCTGCCCACACCCACTGGAGAGCACTGGTGGGTGATGGTAATAAGAGAAAGTAGAAGTAACCAGGCAGAGCGATGCCTGCACCCACTTCCCATGAGAGAAGTGGAATTCCCCAAAATTATGAAGTAATTTACCAGGAAACAAAAACAATGGAAATGATAGGTGGATGAAATACCAATTCTTTCCCAACCACATCTCACCCCTACACCAGTTTTGTTTTGGGCAGACAACAATGGACTCTTGTTGGAAATCAGTGCATTCACTGAAACATGACCACTAATGAACCATTGTATGCAGTATTTGATATAAAAATAGTAAATATTTTTTTATATATTTTGAGTGCTGTTTTTTCTCTAGTTTTATTGTACAACTTTGCTCAACTTGGACTAGCCCAACACGAAGATACCTGTGATGAATTGATCTTGGTCTCCACATAATCAATCAATCACAATGTGGGGTAGGGCAGGTCAGGATCAAAGAGATCACTCCATTGATCAAACCAGGATTCACCCTGGGCTGACCATGACAAAGGTGTTATATATTAACCTTTTTTTCAAAGGCTAAAATCATTCTGCACTCACTTTTTAATCAAATAATTTTAAATTAGAAATGTTAAAGGTACAGATCTGCGGTCCATATAACATCAGAACAACCTTCAAAAGCTTGACAACACTTCACAGATATCTCTCCTGAGTAAGATCCCCCATAGAGAAGAACATGACTAATGACAGCGTGTACGCTATCCTGTGCAGCTGTGGAAAGAAATATAAAGGGCAGACAGGCTGCCCCCTTAAGGTAAGGCTTGAAGAATACCAGAAAGCTGTAACATGAGGGGAAGTGGAAAAATCAGGCGTGGCTAACCACATATGGAGAGAGAAGGGAGATCACCGCCCTCTGTGGGATCAGGTTGAGATCATAGACAAGGAACACCGTTGGAAAATTCGTAAACTTAAGGAATCAGCACATATGCTAGGCCGGAAAATCTCCTGAGCCAACCAAGCATAGAAATGAATACAATATGGGAAACAGTAATAAGGAGTGCCAGAGAAAAGCGATAATAACAACAAAAGTTGCAATATGAACTCTGGTAAAAACTTGTAATGATAACAGCAAAAATTGCAATATGAGCACTGCTAAAAAATGATTGCTAAGACATTAGGTTTATAATACCCAGAAATTCATACACAGATGTCCTCAAGGACACATGGCACAGTGAATAAAGGTGTTGGTTAGATCAGTGACAAGACCCAAAGAGTGTGAGTTCAATACCCGGTTAAGGCAGTGGAGAACTTCCAGAGGGAAATTAACAGGAGATAACTGATAACTTTGATTTCACCTTTGATTTGAATACTTTGCACATTTGGCAAGGATAACATTTTTTGGGGATGCTTCAATTTGAGAAATTCTCATAACAAATTCTATCTGAATATTCTTGAAAATAATTATTTGGTCTCAGGATTAAAGCTGACAGAAGATTTTTTTTTTTCATATTCAAACTTTGTAATGTAATTCACATGTATCCATTTAAATAGCTAAAAATAAAGAAACAGCTGGTTCAAACTGTTTTTTTTTTTTTGACAGTGGCCAGAAGAAAACAAAAAACAGAAAATCTGTTACCTACAAATTCAAAGAAAAAATATTTTTATTGAAAAAGATTTGTCTATTGTAAGTGTCAAGAAAAGGCTGCTGATAGGTTTGAGAAAAGATAGTTTGTGGAAATGTTTTCACTTTATATTGAAACAATGTTGCTTAGAAAAATCCATGAAAGATACAAAGGAACCTTTGTGATTTTTTTCTTTTTGATTTCTGCACTAGTAAATTATCTCTTGAATCATATAAACAAAATTGAGCCACTTTTGGTTTTTTTACATTTACCCAAACAACAATTAATCCCAGTAATTAAACCTAGCCTAACTTCATAATACTGAAATATTAAATGTAAACAGAGAAGGGTTTTTTTTTTTAATTGATTTTATTCCAAGCAAGGCAGTAAAAAGCCACTAGGACATAGGTTTCCTGGGTATGGAAGAATTAAAAAACAGAAACTTTACTAAGGAGCAAGAACAAAAGGAGAATAATCAGGCAGACAGTAGAAAGCAATTTACATTGCATTTAAATTTTTGAAGATTAAAGTTGGCTGGAAAACATGGAGCTGGAAGAGAGTTCCACATTTGAGAAGTGTGAGAAAAGAAACTGTCAGCATAGAACTTGTGATTACATCTAGCTAGCTCAACTGTAAATTGGTGAGACCTCACCACCAATCTAGTACTGCACTTAAATTCATAAAGTCTAGGTACCATGATGAAGAGCTCATCTGACCAGTTGTCATAGAAGTATTTTTAGAAAAAGCACAGGGAGGCAACTTTACAGTGGTGGCAAAGTGACTGAAGCCGAGATGCCAGATCAGTATCAGTAATATTACTAATTCTTTTTTGGATTTATCAAGGATCTCTAGATATATGGCAGGAGCACCAGACCAGACATGGCAGTAATATTCTAAGCATGGGTTGTTGAGTTTTCTGGTTGGTCAATGTTTATCCAGATACCATAAACTCCCAGTACTCAATTTGATAATTATATAAAGTATCTTCATTTCTGGTGAGGAGAGTGGATAGATACCTAGCAGGATTAAAAACAAAACCTTTCAAAGGGTGGATGAACCTTCTTGTAGGTTCAACAGTCATGCAGCACAACAGGGTAGATTGGCCTCCACAGTTATGTATACAGACAGTGTACTGATGACACAGTATTGCTAGGAGGGAGGCTTCCCAGACTGAAGTCAATGGCCCAGGTAGAGGGTTCCTCTGATGGAATCAACAGCCATATCTCTGTGACTAAGGCGAGCCTTGAAACTGCAGGATGACGACTGTGTTTTAAACTAGAGAGGGATGGTCTCCAACAGGTCTACTTGCCCAAGACAAGCTATACATTGTCAGATGTCCAGAAATTGATGCCACTTTCTTTCAGCAATACGTCTAGTCTCACTGAAGCCTAGAAGAGCAGTGCTCCCCCATGTCCACTCACCTGGTTTTTAATAGTTAGCGTTGTTCTTTTATGCAAATAAGTCTGCTGCATAAAAATGGCAGTAGGTGTACGCACACGTGACCGACTCTCTGAGAATGGTTCGACACGCGAGGCAGCAAATTCGTTTTGCTCCTGGTAAGTCACTGTCACATCTATTACATACATAAATAAATACGTCTCTAGCTTTCAACATAGATATGTAAGGAGAAATAACCAAGTGCTCAGTTATGCACTGACGCTATGACTGACCACACCTGGTTATGGGAGAGATGATGTTGAATTCATGGAGAAATTCAAGCATTATGCGTTTTTAGAAATTAATGTTTAACCTTCAGAAATTACAATATGATTCAGATTACATAAGGTTCTCCTTTGCATGTAAATTTTAACATAGATGTGCATACAGCAGTGTGATTGCTAGTACAGAAAGTGCAACTTAAAGCTGTTGCATTGATTTTCACACAAATGTATTTGAGGAAAGTATGAATCCATTCCTTCTCCCTCAGCTATGAGTTAAGTAGCATGGGACACAACTCTCTAGCTTTGGTTGATAGCCATTTGAGGTGAAGGACAACTCTGAATTCAAAATCAGTTGGGTAGGAGGCTAGTAACTCCTTTCTGCAAAAAAAAAAAAATACTTGCTACTGAAGTATCACCACAGCAGCACCTAGTGTAGTGAAGTTGCGGCCGTACACTTAAGAAGAGTAAATTAAAACTGCAAACAAACAAAATATCTTATTTCTACCACAATAAGTAAAAAGTGATTTTAATTAAAAATGGTGCCTGAAATTAGAAGAGGCAAAGACAAGAAATGAAAAATATTTTGAACAGATCAACTTGTAGTAACATCGTATCGGAGTGTGATCATGAATTCTAAATTCAGTTTTTATATTTTTAGACATTCTCTGTATAAATTCATCTGTTGGTAGAAAATGAGTTGATCAGAAAAGTGTAAGTTTGAATTTAAATTTAGTTCTTTCTTATCATAATTGAAGTTACAATAACCGTTATTGAATAAAACGTGATGTAAAAAAATAGACGAGAATAAAGTAAAAAAACTAACAGTAAGAAGTCTAATGAGTGGTTTACCGTTTCTTATCTTTTTTTAAAGTGAGCAAAAAAATCAATTGAAATTGCTGAACTGTACCACTTGTTGATTTCCAATAAAAAATGATGCATTCTTTAATTCCCTCATAGCATTTTTTTTTTATTTCGAATCACTTACATAGTAAATATATTTCACTTACATAGTAAATATTTTTCTCCAGATTTAATGATAAATTAAAGTTTGTCTATCAAGGGAGATAACTAGGAAATCTTTTCTGTCAACCAAAGAATTTAATTTGTTTTTATCAAAACGTGTACCTGCAATCGTTCTGATTATCAATAAACTACGTCATGGTTGCACAGATAACAAAAGAAAAAATGCTTATTAGACAAACATAAAAATTACCTTGAGACTTTGTAAAACAGTATTCGCATTAATTAATTTTTAAAGCACATTTCTATCGAGTGTCAACTTGCTGGAAAATTAAATAATTGTAATTTAAAACTCCGACACTATTTTCTGATTTAGCGATTTTAGATTAACTTTGACTCATTTTAAACAGCTAAATATGTGTGTTTAACAAAAAAAAACTGGCATTTTTAAATGGAATAAATAAAAAATAAAATTGTTTTCGGTTGTCGGTGAATTTCTTAGAAATAAATAAAATACAAAAAAGAAAAAAAAGAAGGAAATAAAAGACAACCAGAAAGAATAGAACAAAAACTTAAAAAAACAAAACATTTTCAGCAAACTCTTACGAGTTTATTTTGTTTGAAAGTAAATCATTTTGTGAAGTTGCTATCATTTAAAAAAGAGTTTACTTACTTTTTTTTTTAAATTTAAAAAGAAGTGTAGGAAAACAATACTTTTTTTACTGGGAATCTTTTCTTTTTTTTTTTTTTTTACACTTGTCACATTGTGTCAGTAAAAACATAGACAAAAATAAAAGGTAAGTAAAAGTAACATTGTACATGGAGAATAGAGTGTAATGTTTTATTATTATTTTTTTTAATCTATTTTTTAAGTTCTGGAAGAAGTTAGTATTCTTCTTAGTGTGATGTCAAAGAAAATGTTGGTGACCCTTCTGGATGATTAACCCGGAAGTACTTGTCGGGTGTAGTCAACGTGGACCAATCAGAAGCGGACAGCAAGGCACAGGAGGCGAGGAGGAGTTGCCACCATTACAGACAAGCAGTTGTTTTATTCTTTGTAGCAGCAGTGTTAGATGCTATTTGGGCCACTCAGCTGTCAAGAACAAGCAGATAAGAAATCAAGATTTTCTGTGAGATCGAATTGCATTTAAATTATCATTTAGTACTTAAAAACAAGCAAACCCTCCATCATGATGTTGCATGCCTCCGTGCTTTTTGTGATGGTCTATACAGCCGGCATGACTTGGGCAAGTGATGTTATAGAATTGAAAGACAGCAATTTCCAGAGCAAGGTGGATCCGCATGATGTTATATTGGTTGAATTTTATGCACCTTGGTAAGAACAGTGTATATTAATAATAATTTTATATATATATATAAAAAAAAGCCAACCTAATTAATGGTTGAAATTAAATTCTTTTATTACCCTGTCACCTAAAAAAAGACTCCCGACTCCCCAAAGAAAAACCTGCTTAGGAATGGAAAGCGTGTTTTAAATGAATTGATAAGTTTTTCGTTAATTTATCTCTATTTGTAAAGAACAGAAAATTTTTTCATCATTTAAAATCTTTTTTATGCTTATTGTAAAATGATTTAAAATTAAAAATATCTAACCTAATGACTTTTTAAAAAGTTTAATTAATTTAAATCCTACATACTTCCTTCCTTGAATGAAAAAAAAAAACCCTACAAAGTACAAAGTTTTCAGATTTTTTCTTTTAATTTCGAAGGTTCTTCTTAAAAAAAAGATCACTTCATATTGTGATTGTCATTTTTGTCTTTACTCTGTTAAAAAATCGTAAAGCAAGGAAATAGAAGTTTTAGTTTCTTGTCTCAATTCAAAATCCTAGTTTTAATTTGAAAAATTAAGTCCATCAAAAATTGTGAAAGCTTTTTCGCCAAGCTTTTAACTGGAAAAAGAAAGGTTTATTATTAATTCTTGTCATGAAATTCTGAACCTTTTAACGTTTAAATACGAAGTTCTCTGCTCTCGTTTTAATTTATTAAATTTTAAAAATTATTTTAAAATTTATAAATATCTATTTCATTTCGATGTAAAACTCTGAAAAAGAAAAGCATTTCCTTGGAAGTGATTTTCAATCCGTCAGTGACGTGTCCGCCGTTCTTCCTCAATCAATTATCAATCACATTTTCGATTAATAATTCCTAATCGATCACATTCATGTCAAGATTAAATATTTATTTAAATCATTTATGCAACATGTTTAAAAAAAAAAAATTAATCTTTTTTTTCTTATTTTTGGCAAATGTTTTAAATTATGATGGCCGTTCCCAGTCTTTAAAAATCATAAAAAAAAATGAAGTGTTTGTTTATTTTGTTGTTAAATGAAACTTTATATTTTTTCGATATCGTTGGTTAATTGTTAGATTAATTCATATTTAATTTTTAATTCCATCCAAATCATCCCCTATTATTATTTTTTTTAATGTAAATTTTGTTTTTGTGTTGTCAAGTGTCGTCTGCTTTTGTTCTCATTTTGAAAAAATATTTTTTCAACTTAAAATTTTCCACATGTTTGCAAAAAAAAAAAAAAAAAACGTTTTACTTAAATTTAATTTTTACATCAGATAAATTAAACTTGAGTTTATTTTATTTTTTTGTGTTAACGATTCAAAATTTTAAAAAATGAGTAGACACAAAAAAACACCAGAGAAACCTTAGGTTTTATATTTTTATTTGTTATTTTTATTGTCGATACAAGTTTCAATTTGGAAAATCAAAATTCAAAACTATCGACAAAAACCGATCTTTTATTTTTTTTTTTATTACAAAAAAAAAAAAACACCAAAATACACCAGGTATTTCAAGGAAACTTTTTTTGTGAAAATTTGTGACAACGTTATGCTTGGCTTAAGCCTTCAGAACTGAATAGTTTTAAAAAATAGTTTTTTTTTCCTTACTTTTTTTAAATAATAAATTTTTAAAGCTTTAAAATTTTAAAAATAATTAACATGGGAAGAATCAAAAATTTGAAGTACAAATAAAAATTGATAACAATTTCTTGTTTTGAAAATGAAACTGACCAAAATAATGCATTATTTTATTTATTTTAAGCTTTAGACGTTTTAATAAGCAGATTAGAGAATTTGGGGATTTTCTTTCAATAGATGTGATTGATAATAATAATAAAAAAAAGAAAATTTAATCCTTCAGGTAAAAACCTTTTTTACAGTCAATTATTCCTTTTTCTGCTAAATTGAAAATATTTGTTTTGAAAATGCAGTTTTTACTTTTTGTTTCGTGTTAGGGATTTTTTTTTTTTTTTTTTGTAATTCCAAATTTTTATTTTTATTTTTTTTTTGCATAATCTCATTTTTATTTTAGGATAGATATTGCATTGTTGTTTAAAAATTTCAATCATTGGTTTTTGTCATGTGTTTTGACAAACACTGAACAGTTGTGATGTTTCTCATGATACAAAAGAAAAAGATAGGAAATAATCAAATAATCCTTGCCTTCCACTTTTGACTTTTTATAAAACCGAACATTACTTTTTTTCAATTAGGAAAATGGTTGGACAAATAAAAAGGATATTATTGTGAAAAAACACTTTTTAAAAAATTCTCTGTTAACTTTATTTTTTTTATTTTTTATTTTTATTTATTTATTTTTTTTTTTTTTAATGAAAATGATTTGTATATTTAACTTTTGCATCCTGACAAGTGTTTGAAACCTTATCGAATAAAAAAAAAAAAATTCAATAAAAACTTGAGTGAAAAACTTGTTTCTTTCGTACAGCATATAAAATGGTGTGTGGGGGGTGGTGAGGTCTTGGATAGATTTGTGTCACACTTTAAATTTTGTAACGAAAACTAGAAACTTTATTTCTTAGCAAGATTGAGATAGCCATTAAAAACATTTCCTATGAGTGAAAGTAATTAAAAAAAGAAGCGGTGTCAATGGAAAAACTGTCCTTTTGACACGTCTTATTTCGGGCATGTTTGCCAACAATTTTAAAGCTTAATTGTTCAGCCATAATTGCTATAACAAACATTCCATTAAGAAAAGGCAACCTGGGAAGTTTTTTTTTTTTTAACTATTCTAGTTATACTTATATTTTCTGTCTTTAACAAATATACCGACAGTCTTCTGTTTCATGAAGCACCAGAAAGAAAAAAACAAACTTATGTCCTTTCTTAAAAGTTGCATTATGAATAAACAGTAGAAATAATTGTAAGCAACCTAGTGGAATTGGCATAGATTAAAAAAAAAAAAAAAAGTAGGCTGCAGAACACAGATCTAGCAAGCATTCACAAAAATATAAAACAAATATGAGGGAAGAAAAGGTACTTTTTGGCAGGGTATATAAAATCTAAAAATGAAACCATAATAGAAAAAGATGAGTTACTGTAGAGATTGAATGAATGCACAGAACACTTCCATGACAAGAGAAACCTACAATACATAAAAATCTGACAAGACTTGTCTATATTTCTGAGATAAGGTATTATGTACATTATTTACATTATTCGGGCTATTGTCCTCATCTTTTTCGCCATATCATATGTTAGTTAGAGTATGAGTTCAATACCTGGCTATAGTTTTTTTTTTACATACAAGTAAGGATGTCAGTTATCAGTTATCTCCTGTTAATTTCCTTCTGAAAGTTCTCCACTGCCTTAGCCGGGTATTGAACTCGCACTCTTTGGGTCCTGTTACTGGATCTAACTAATGCCTTTATCCACTCTGCCATGTGTCCTCACCAGAAAGCTGTAACACGAGTGGAAGTGGAAAAATCAGGTGTGGCTGACCACATATGGAGAGAGAAGGGAGATCACTGCCCTCTGTGGGATCAGGTTGAGATCATAGACAAGGAACACCGTTGGAAAATTTGTAAACTTAAGGAATCAGCACATATTCTAGGCCAGAAAAATCTCCTGAGCTGACCAAGCATAGAAATGAATACAATATGGGAAACAGTAATAAGGAGTTCCAGAGAAAAGCGATAATAACAACAAAAGTTGCAATATGAACTCTGGTAAAAACTTGTAATAACAGCAAAAATTGCAATATGAGCACTGCTAAAAAATGATTGCTAAGACATTAGGTTTATAATACCCAGAAATTCATACACAGATGTCCTCAAGGACACATGGCACAGTGAATAAAGGTGTTGGTTAGATCAGTGACAGGACCCAATACCCGGCTAAGCCAGTGGAGAACTTCCAGAGGGAAATTAACAGGATATAACTGATAACTGAAATCCATTAAACATGGCACGTGGAACTAGAACAGTCTACCCCAGTGAGCGAAATAAAGAGTTCAGTTCGACATTTCAACCACCTGAAGAAGTCCGGAGCATACAACGGCCGAAACGTTGATAGATATGGTGAAAAAGATGAGGACAATAGTCTGAATAATGTAAATAACTGACAAGACGTGTAATATAAAAATCTGAAGTCAAAGAAGCATTAGCTAAGTTGAAGAATAATAAAACAATAGCATGAGATGAGACTGCAACAGATGCTGACAGTTTGGGGATTGCTAAGTTAACTGAAGTTATAAAGTTATTGGCAGTGAAATACTGGAAAACCACAGTTGATAAATCTTCATAGTGTTGTCAAAGAAATAAGGTTTGAAAAAATGTGAATTCCATCCACATAACTAATTATTAGGATTCTAATCTATAGAGTTTGTAGCAGAATTAAACTGAAAATAAAGCAGGAATGATGTGATACTGTCCAAGATGATAGAACAAGTAATGCATTTTTATGATCAGAATGCTATCAAATTGGGTAATAGAAATTCAAAAAAAAAAAATCCGTACTTGTTTCACAAGACATTGATAAAGTACAATATGAGGAAGTTAATACATCTTAAATTATGTTTTACAATTAAGAACAGTGACATTTTTTTTGTTATGTAAAATGTCTGAATGAAATGAAAAATCTTTGATTTTAGCATAGACATAAAAATAGCATAAATAAGGCAAATGTGACTAGAATTATTCTTATTTTAGAATAATCCATAATGCTAAGTACATGAAACTACTGAATGTTAGTGAATCAAAAGCCTATAGCAATCTGTTGTATAAAATCACCATGATCAAAAAAAAAAATTAAGCTGGTTTTAAATCGTAAAGTCAATATAACTTGACTGTAAAATAGCTGTTATTAAAAATGCATATTATACGTTTACTCTAGTTTGAATTACTATTAAAAATATTAGAAAGCAATTGTTTTATGGCTCTAACTTTGATAACTTTCATGCATATGAAATTGTTTTTGAATTTATAATTTTTCATAGATGAAGTTGGCCCAAGTTTTGGATTCCTTTTTTAATTCCTCTGCTTATCTTTATCTCCTGCTCTCATGTGGTAAAAAAAAAATATTTGAAATGCTAGGAATATGCGAGTATTGATTTGTTTTTTTTTTTTTTTTTGTTACCTTGGGCAGTTTTTCTCTTCAAGTAATTATTCTTTTTTTTCTTTCCCTTTTAACCATCTATATATATAATATATATATATATATATATACACACACACAGAAAGTTGAAATTTGATGTTTTCTGCTAATTATAATATTTTAACATTAAAAAAACTAAATACTGATATAATCTCAAATAATTTTGAAGTAATTGTTTTTCTTTCTTTTTTTAATTAGTGTTTATATATCTGGTGTATTTTAAAGTTTATGAATGACTTGGATATTGAGTGTTGAAATGTTCTGACTGAGAAAGGATTCACTAACAAATTTTGATGTTTGGTCAGATTTATGGAACTAGGTTAGGCTGCAAACCTTTCAGTATCCATCATAGTCATAGAAATATCTGTAGTTTATTTAAATATAAATGTCAGCATGTATGTATGCATTTTAATTCTTTACCAAATGAACAATGACAAAAGGTAAGAAATCCTATATAATATGTATTCATGTTGCTGATACACAACTACAAAAGACTCAGTCATGAAATAGCAGTTTTCTGGTTGCTGTCAGACTATTTTTATCTATATTGTTTACATTTGGGCTAATATCTTCCTTTTTGTTACTATCATGTTTCAGCTGTTGTACCTTCTGGCATTTATTGATCTGGATAATTTTCAGGGAATTTTGAGCTAAAACCTTTACTGGAGGTTACCTTGATTGACAAACACTTGAAGAATGCCTATGGGAACAACATTCAAAATATAATAAGAAACAAATGAGAGGACATTAGTCCAAATGTAAATGATAACTTCTCATCACTTATATGTAAATTATATTAGTTTTGTGAGTGATTATTAATATGTATAATTCATAAAGATGTACGTTTAAGATCCTAATTCTTGTTGTAGGCTAAAAAATGTTCTTTGATAAAATTGAAAGTTATGTACTTTTCTTTCCTGATACACTTTTTGTAGCATTTTTGCAAATTGAATTTACTTTATAACGGATTTTTCAGCATGCCCAGACTGCTACTAAATGTTATACAAGGTTACTTTATAAATTTAATCTAAAATGTTAAAAATTGTCAGAATATTCTATCTTTATTTGGATTGTTGCCTGGGTTTATATAAAAATTAAAGTTCTAGATGAATTGGCTTTCTCTGTTTTTCTCTTGATGTCTCTCTAAAATTTCTTTCAATTTAAATTTTCTTTTTCAGGTGTGGACACTGTAAAAAGCTAGCACCTGAATATGAAAAAGCTGCAACTACTTTGAAAAAAAATGATCCTCCAGTTTCATTAGCTAAAGTATGTTTATCATTTCAGAAATTTTAACATGATTACAAAAAATATAGCATTGCCTTATCTATTACAGTGGAGTAATGGATGGCGGCTCGGATTGAAGAATTGTAGAGCTAAGTTCGAATTCCAGTCGAATCCATTACATTCACTTACGTGCTAATGTCCTTGAGAAAGGTATGAATCCTCTTCATCTCCTCACCTGTGCAGAAAGAAATGGCAACCTACTGTGGGGTTAGGGCAGGTTGATTTGCAACTTTTTTTTAGAAAATCAACACAGCACTGGTGATGATAGTTGGGATTTGATGTGATAAAAATTAGACTCCGATCTTGAAAAGAAAATTGAGCATTTAATTTTAAAAATCGTATGGAAAAATGTGAGAAATCCTTAATTTTCATAGCGTTTTACTAGAAACTGACTTTGAAATTTCACTATTTTAGTAATAAATTCAGTTAAAATTGATATATTTATATGAAATACATTGGAAAAAAATATATGAATTATAATTTTAATTATGAATCACAACTAGCAAAATATCTCAACTTTTACAGCATTGATTAAACAAAATTGTTAAAAAAGGCTAATTAGCAACTAAGTCTTTTTAAATTTCACAAATCAAAAGATATGTGAAGATGTATTACACAATAAAACAACTGGATACAAGTTAGAGAACCAAGTATTTTAAATTTTTATTGAACACAATAATAAAAACTGTTATAATAGAACTAAATTGTTCTGCGTAATTTCCTTTCTTTGAGGAAAATGAAGGCCTAATTTGGTGGCACAATGACTTTGTAATAATGTGTCTATGTCTTGCTTCCTGCCCGTATACAACTTGTGAAGCTTCTGTTGTTAATTTCACAGCCCTTCCAACCCCTTGTGAATGGGCAGGTAATTTAGGAAGTTCTAGTTTAGTTCCTGTCATAGACGATTTCTCAAGTTCTTCATTTGTAAAACACTCTGTAAGTGCAGGTTCACAAACTCCAGTTTGAGAAAGACCAATCAAATTTGACCAGTGTGTGGCTGCAAAATTGATACCAGTAATCTTTTTCAGTCTTTTTTTTTTTTTTTTTTTTTTTTTTTTTGGTGGTTCACTATCTCTGAAAAAAAAAAAAACAATTATTTGAAAACTTACTAATTTTTTTTATATTTTTGTGATGTAATTTGGGTAAATTGAGATAACTAATTAAATTTAATGGATAAATATTTACTTGCCTAATGGACAAAATCTTTTTAATGGCCTCTTCCCTCACATCGAATTCATCTTAGTTTATTATTGATATTATAATATTTTCCGGAAGTAGTGCAAAAGCACTATATTTTAAACTGTTAAAAACAGTATTTTGGATTTCAGTTGACTGTTTTGTCCTCTGAATCATATTAAAGATATACAGTTGTTGGTTAAAAAAATTGTCGGTTTTGATCTCAAACCAATTAACTGCTTACATTTGAATGATAAATTTGACCAGTGTGCTTTATTTATCATAGAGTGTTTGAGGATAGATACCTCTGGTCCATAAACACATTAACCTTGTGGCTAATGTTAGCCATCTTGCTTTATGCAAGGGTCCAATTTTCCAAGCTGCATATCTTGGGAAATGCCAACAGCATACTCAAAAAGTAGCCTCTGGTCTCTACTTAAATTATTTGTTTCTTCTGCCGTCAGATAATGATGATCTAGATGATCTTTTTAAATTCTACTTGAGGCAAATCTTGATAATTATTGATCCAAAGTTTCCCTAAAGGACCAGTAAATGTTGTTGGGCTTCTTGTTGTTCTATCAGTTAATTTAAAAATTGCTCTAAATGGCAGTTCATTTTGATGAAGTGAACAGCCAATAGTATGTAAATTTTTGTTAATTTTTTTTTTTTTTTCAAGAGCTGTAATAAGTCCTGCTTCACAGCCAGTGTTTGTACTGGTATTGTCCACCAAAATTGCTTTAACAATATCTACACTGTTATACTCTGTTAAAACTGCAGCAACATCTTCAGCTAAGAGAACACCAGTTGCCCCCAGGTTGGGTATCACTCTATGGGTAAGATATTTGCTCTCTGTTCCTGTTTCTCTGGTGAAAGTTAAGTGCCGCTCTGCTACTTTGTTTTTCACTATCTTTTTTTTTTTCCACCATTTTCATCTACAACTTCTTTGTATTGTAAAGTGTCCTTATCAACTCTACAATCAATTCAAACACAAACTAGATTCTCATTTTGATGGACATGCTACACATGGCTGGATAGTTTTATTCTAGCCTTTTCTCTGTCAATTTTTGATTTATCTAAAATGATGTCCTTTAAATTTACCTTTGGGTGAAGAAGGCCCATATGTTTTAGGTCCAGCAGAAAGGCATTAGCTAGGCAAGCACCAAGATTGGAAGATGCATCACCTCTGATGAGTTCTATAGAATATCTTGGGATTTTTAAAAGGCTGTAAGGTTCCTTCAGCTGCCTTCCTGGGTCAAAACTGTCATCAATTGTTCCTTCACTAGAAGATGACTATTGAAATATTTGGGGAAGCTTGTTCCTGTCTTTCACTCTGCCTCTCCAGTCTCTCAACTTCAGCAAACGTTTTTGTATTTTTTTATAGCACTTTTGTTGATAGGTCCCAGTTGATAACTACCTTTTGGCACTGTTTTTTCCCTCTGGTCCTTTTAAGTATTCTCTGTCTTCTAGTGTTACCTGAAAATTGCAAAATTTGCATGCTTAATAGATCCAGAATACATGACAAATACCAATATATTATTTTATTTTCCACAAAAAGGAACATAATTGCAGGTGAATCTATAGTTTTCAATTATTTCAAATGTTACAAATTGGTATTCAAATTATACTAAGTAAAAAAGAATCACAGAATTAATCTTACCTTCTTGTTAGGAGGACAAGTGCAGACTGTGTCTTGTTTGACAATTTTCTGTCTTGCACTGTTCTGCAAAGGCAACACATCTCAAGACAGGAAGTTTACAGCTACAAGAGGATATATGAAACAGTTTGTCAAGCTGTTCCTTCATTCTTTTCACTTTGGTTGCTGCAAGAGATTTCCTGTCAATCTGTTTGGTCCTTTTATAGCAAAATATATTGACCTTCTTTCCTATATAACGTTCCCTTAACAAGAGCAATTGTGGATTAACTGCTTGCCAAATACTAGTTATTTCCTTGGCAATTAACTTAGAAATCTCAAAATTTTTTAAGTTGAGATAGTTGTTTTCTAGGAAATAACTAAACTGGATGACTGGTTGTAAAGTTGGGGGTTCTGTTTTATCCAAACGACAAGGTGGACCAGCAAATCTTTGTGAACCACGGGTTGAAATTGAACGTTGTGCTTTTACTGACATTTTAATCTGAAAAAAAAAAATGGATGATAGCCTAAAACAGTTTGGTTTAGTTATCTTCCAGTTTCATATGTAAAAAAAATAACTGCTAGTTATGGTAAGGAGTAATGAAAAACTTTGTAGAGTTGAATTAGCTTTATTGAGAAGACCAGACCAGACCATACTAGTGTTTAGTTTAGACTAAAATTTGTTTTTTTTTTTTTTTTTTTTAACAGACTTTCGCTCCTCTTTGGATAACATGAATTTATCCATAAAGGGATTCATTCTTGCTGTAGCTGTGCCATTTTAAACGAGTCTGTAGTGTTTAGAGTTTGAAAAACTTTTAAAGCAGTTTCTTTATTTACTCATATTAACCTTTGTGGGTTATCGGATTTTAAAACTATAATTTTAGAAAAACAACACTGCTTAAAAAAAAAAATTACCCCCTAAAAATAAAAGAAATAAAAATTTGCCACTAATTTTCTGCAAAGTAATTTTTTTATTAACTAGAAAAACTTGAAAATTTACGTGGTTATGTTTCGTAAAGAATGTGTAGAATAAAATTGTATGGGCTATTTTTTTTTTTTTTTTTTTTTTTTTTTAAATATAAAACTGGAATATTACCATATTTTAAATATAAAACTTCAAATAGAATTTATTGTGAAATAGAAAAACAAATTAAAGAAAAATTAACTTACCAACAACGGGAATAATTTTTTAAGTGGATGAAACAAATACGTTTAAATTCGCTGCAGACTCTTAAAATATAATAATATATATTTTAAACAAGTCTTTTTTCGTTTCTCCTTTCAAAATAATTAGGTCTTTAGCCTAAAATCATTTTTTAAATGAAAAAATAAACAGACGTTAATTTCTCAAGCAATAACAAGCGTGTGTTTACAACGGTGTAAACTAAAATGTTCCCACCAAAGAAAGTTCTTGGGGGGGTAAAAAAAAAAGAATGCAAACTTCTGTCACTATTACTTATAAACACAATTTTGCGTTTAGTTAATATTTATTTTATTAATTCATTATCCTCACTCATTTTTATTTAGTGTATGAAAAAAGTGTAGTTTAAAACATATTCGAAATAATGATTTAATTTTCCTGACGGTACGGATTGTTTTGACTACTGGAACGTACTTGACAATTCACCAAAAAACTTTTAATTGCTGCAATTTTTCAACTTTTAAAGTCATTTCCCCAAATGAAGGTAACGATTTAGAAAAAAAATATTTGGTGTAGGTATTTTTTTATGACAGACTCCAACTATCATCACCATTGCATCACCGGGGTTCCAAAATCGACCTGCTCTACTGCGGGGTGGGGAGACTGCCTCATCATTCATGTATTGAAAGATACATGATTGCCTAAGCATGTATCATGCATGGCACATAACTGACTGACTTATTTAACAATTTATATTGAATAAAAAAAATTCTTCAGTTTCTTTATAAATAACTTCTATGCTCAACCCCCCGCCAAAGAGAAATTTCTTGTAATGTGCAAAATATTATCAGTAATTTATCAAAATTTGATATGGTTTGTTGATTTTTCAGTTTTCTTTAATTCTAGTAAATGTTATCCAGTTGAACTTGGTTTATGGTTAAGTATTAGTAATCACTTGAGAACTTTATCATTTCGAATTCCATTGCCCCAACTTGATTAATTTTGGAAGATTTGTTCATTACCATACCATATATGATTTTATAGTTTGAATGTTTTTTTGTGTGTGTGGGAACAGAATTTTGACATTATTAATAATCTGAATGTCAGCTCGTACCAATTAAAAGAATCTCATGAGAGAAAATGAATATTTACATTTTACGATTTTGTTCACTGAATATAATATTTATGAATATAATTAATTCGAATAAAATGTGAGGAGGAAAACTTGTAAAAAAGAAAATAAACATGATAAAACTAGGTACCTGATACTACCTACCAGCACCACAATGATTATAATGAAAGTATTTACTCAGTCTTAATATAAAATAACACAATTATTTAAGTTTTATAACAACTTTTGTTTTTTAAGACAAAATAATTATGGAAAAAATGAATATGAAAAACTTTAAAAATGAATAATTACACTTGTGGCAAATACTGTAAGTTTATGAAGTCATTATCCATGAAATGTCATTTTTCAGAGTCTGTCTATATTTCTGAGATGAGGTATTATGTACAGTATTTACATTAGTCGGACTATTGTCCTCATCTTTGTCGCCATATTTGTCACAACGTTTCGGCCGTTGTACGCTCCGGCCTTCTTCAGGTGGGATCATGTTGAAATCATAGACAGGGAACACCATTGGAAAATACGTAAACTTAAGGAATCAGCACATATGCTAGGCCACAAAAATCTCCTGAGCTGACCAAGCATAGAAATAAATACAATATGGGAACCAGTAATAAGGAGTGCCAGAGAAAAGCAATGATAACAAATTGCAATATGAGCACTGGTAAAAATGATGCTGAAAACATTAGGTTAATAATACTCAGAAGTTCATACCCAGATGTCCTCAAGAACACATGGCACAGTGGATAAAGGCGTTGGTTAGATCCAGTGACAGACCCAAAGAAGGTGAGTTCAATTCCTGGTTCAGGCAGTGGAGAACTTTCAGAGGGAAAATTAGCAGGAGATAACTGATAACTGACATCCATCAAACATGGCACGTGGAACTAGAACAGTCTACCCCAGTGATCGAAATAAAGGGTTCAGTTCGAAATTCCAACCACCTGAAGAAGGCCGGAGCGTACAATGGCCGAAACGTGACAAAGATGGCAACAAAGATGAGGACAATAGTCCGACTAATGTAAATACTGTACAATGTCATTTTTGTTATCCTGTTTTGACTGATTCTACAGCCTTCAAGTGTATAATCCATAAAGGAAAAGAAAAAAGTGGGGTCCTTTTTCCAGAAAATCGCTTCAAACAGAAAAGAATGGTGACAAATATACTGATTGGATCCCAGCAGTGCAAGTTACACAGAAGATTCTATACTCAACAAGCCATGTAACATAGGTGATTCCATATTTCTTGTATGCAGTGATGTTCTCAAATTCCTTTCTGGCTAAACGAAAAAAAATCTACACTGTTGGAATATTCAATGGCTTGACTGACTTGTACATCTGTCTGATGTATATTACTTTCTAGAATTTTTTTACTTACTCGCCTGTGATGTTCTATATCTCTTCATCCCAGAAATATCTTTGTAGGTTAGTCTGATCCTTTCTCTCTCCAGATATGGTCTACCATACCAGACTCTTTTCTACTTCACCTTTTCGATATGGCTTTATATTCTGACTTTCAGTAAACAACTTCTTTTTTTCCCTCCTCTATATCCTTTTCCACACATGCATGGGGGGGGGGGCTTATAAATGCAATAATCCACTTTTGTTGTGAGAGACTGGCTTTTATAAGGAGGTTGTGAAGGGTGGTTGCTGTACATATCCACCTTGGTGTTATGAAGTCAATAAGTCCTTTGTATTTGCTCAGCCTCTCCTCTTATATAATGGCATGCTTACAGTGGCTATGTAATTTGGGTCTCAGTGGTGGGGGTCTTTTGATTTTGAAGTTATTTAGCATGATTAGTTGTTACTTTAGAGGGTACTGTTTGTGCACCTGGGATCACCGCTGATGATCTTTGCTCAATGTAAAAGTGTGAGCAATTACGTAGAAGCAAGTAAGTCAACCAGGGTTGTACGCTTCTTTCCATCTACGGACATCATGATAATATGTAGTACCTTATTCTTTATTTGCTTGGGGAGAACACTGACACTGACATCTGTTCCCCCGGAGCCGTTTTTCCTGGTAATTTAATGAGATGTGTCTGACCCTGTTACACTGTATCTTGCGGCAGGATCTTCAAGCCTGCGTGACCATCTCTAAGCAGCGTTGCCTGCAGTCCTTGGCCAGGTAGTTGGGAAGAAGGCTGAAATAGCTTGTAGTTAAATAAGGTTCTGGTCTTCTGACACTGATCATGCAACACTGAATGCGCTTTGTCAAGACACCGTTCTTGAATTCACGATCATATCACCAATGTAAAAATCACTACTCCCTTCTCACTGCTTTAGCCCTCTTTTATTTTGCCAAAACTATAAAGATATAGTGTCTTTAGCAGCCATTGAGGATTTAACATTTGAGAATGATTGGATCCTGAAAGATTGGGCACTCTATCAGGTGACAACGGATGTAGGATTTTCTTAGCAAAAGCAGACCAAGAATATATATATACATACATTCTGGATAGACAACAGTGGCATGGATGCCTCATTGACAGGGATGGTCGTGTCATCTATTAAATTAGAAAATTGTATTGAATCTTGTACCCCAATTCAACGCAGCTGCTGCTTAAGACCTCACTTAATACACTCTATTGTGTGTGTTATTCCAAGTGGCTTTGTAGTTGACAACTAACACAGGAACCATTATTGACAATACAGTATCAGTTAGTGTACCACATTTGGGCCAGAGAAGAGTACCATTTTTACTATGAAAGACTAATGCAATGTCACTTGGTCAAATGATTTGGGCAGACTTAATTTCAATTGTGAGGAAAACTGCATGATGTTATGAACTCATTGTCTAAGCAAAGTGTTGCACATGCTGGTGGTGGTCCTATGATATTGTGGTGGTGGGTGTGTTCTGTTTAGGTCCCCATTGCAAGAAGCACAAAATGTCATGACAGATGTTACCTGCACAGATCATGTTGCAGACTGTACCTTTTTATGTACACCAGGTTTCCTCAGGGTAGTAGTTTGTTCTGGCAAGATGGCACAACATGCCATTGTGCACAGATGACGACATGAAAATCCTACCACAAGTAATCAATTCACTTCAAATGTATACTACTGCATTTATCAGATTTAAACCCCATTGAACTTGTATGGGACATTTTACTTGTATTGCTAAATTTCATGCAGTCACACCCAACAAATGTAAATCAGTTATGGTCTAACCTGGAACTGAACATACATATATATATATATATATATATATATATATATCCCCAGACAATTACTGCAGTATTTCTTATAATCCATATCATGTCATGTAGTTGCTGCTGCTGTTTGTTCAGGTGAATGGTGGAACATAATGTTTTCAGCGAATTGTTTATAATCTTAAGGCAATTCAATTTACCATGAATTTTTTTTATCTTCCGTAATTGACTGAATTTAATTTGATCTTCATGTATAAATAAGGTAATTAAGAAGTAATAATTACTCTTTGTGTCAAGCAAAACAAATATACACAAAGCTCTTTCACAATATTTACTGTGATTATAACAAAAGTTTTTTTTATCATGATAAAGCTTTATAGTACTTTCAAAATATATTGGAGACAGATTATTAAATAGTTTAATTTTTGCTTTTATAAATATCAATTAATTTCAGGTTGACTGTACTGCCGAAAAAGCGACTTGTGAAAAGTATGGAGTAACTGGATATCCAACTTTGAAAATTTTCAGAAGTGGTGAATTTTCTAAGGAATATGATGGACCAAGAGAAGCAGGTAAGTTATGGCAAAATAATGGAACTCCTTACTTTTTTTTTTCTTAATATATTTAAATGTATCACTTTAATTTGCTACTCTCAAGTCTATAAATTCGTTTTGAAATCCTAAATATAACTTTAGTTTTAATCTTTTTGTTTAGAAAAACATACCTTCCATAGTAGCAAAGGATAGAGCAATCTGCCAAACATTTGATTAAGGTCCTATGAAATTCTTTTTCTTTTATTTTAATACCAGATGTTTAATACAAAAACTTCTAAACACTACTTAAATGTTGAATAATGTAAGCAAAAATTTTTAACTCAAATTTTTTTTTTAAGATGGCATTGTAAAATATATGAAGTCTCAAGCTGGTCCATCATCAAAAACACTTAGTTCTGTTGCTGATGCTGAAAAATTCTTGAACAACATGGACCATTCTATAATTGGTAAGTTTTTACTTTGTGCATACAATTTAAGTCTGTTTTTTTTTCTTATCCAAAGTTACACTAATGATGTAAACTCACTATTGTGAGATTTTCTTACTCATCTGATTACAGTGAAAGAGACTCAAGCCTGAAGTGTAACAAAGTTGATGTCTGTATATTTTGTGTTTATTAATTTGTAATATATCATAAGCAACAAGTTTGTTAATTTGAATGTTGCCATTTATATACCAATACATCAGTGTTGGTGTCACTTTTTCTATATACTTTGATTATAGACATTTAAAACTTTTTGAATTTTGAAATTAAACCTTTATATATGTCTCAATATTTTTCAGCAATACATTTTTGATTGAAAATCTTAACTTGCATGTATCATGTAGCATTCTGAAATATATATTAAATATTCATCCATGTACTTTTAATGCAATTCATTTAAAGGACACACACACACATTAAATTTTTCAGTAAGACATGAAAACTCTTATTCTTTCAATCTTGTTTTCAGGTTTCTTCACTACTGAAAATGAACTCTCAAAGGTCTTCCAGAAAGTTGCAGATACACTTAGTTCAGAGTTTAGATTTGCTCACACATTTGAAAAAGAAGTATTAGAAAAATATGATTATAAAGAGTAAGTTCAAATATATTCTGTTGAGCACAGACTAAATTCTTAATGAAGCATTTTTATAAAAAGAATTTACATATTCACTTAACCACCCAAAGAAAATGTAAGCAAAATATAGTTCAATCTTATTTTTCATTTTCTTTTGTTATCATGATAAACTAAAGAAATCTTTATTTTTCTCTTCTCTCTCAGTTCTGTAGTCTTATTCCAACCCAAAAGACTTCAAAGCAAATTTGAAGATGCAGTAATGAAATATAAAGGTGATGCTTCATTGTATGAAATAAAGAATTTTATTAAAGGAAATGTGTAAGTAATTTAAAATTTCCTTTTCCATTATCGCTTGGGAAATTAGTTTGAGCAAAAAACTTTTTCATGAAAAACTTAGAATTCCTTCTGAAATTTTTTATTTTTGTTTATTTGCATTTAAGTTTTATTTGAAGAACCTGAAGATGAAATTTGTTCAAACTTGCAAGATTCTATCAATTACTTAATAATGATAGAATTATATTTCTAATAGTCTTTTAAATTCATTGATATATGGCTAAATTTGATCCTATAACAAAATTATAAAATCCATTAAACTGCTGTTGTATCAATGGTTGATACTGAGAATGTTTTGATCCAGATATTGACAAATGGAATGAGCCTTCCTCTAAAAAAAAAAACTTAATAGGAGGAAGTTTGTTTTACAAAAAAATCCTTTCAAACCCAAATTGAACTGCTTTTAAAAGTTAATGTTTATATTTATCATAAATTCTTCAAACATTTTGAGTTTCTGTAGCAGATTTAACAAGTTTAACATAAGTTTGATGCAGACATGTTCAAGGTTGTCAACCTTCTTGACAATCACAGATCTATCCAAATGCAATGTTATAAAACCTTGTGTATTAATTGAACACAACTAGTAGACTGATTCAGAAGGCTTGGTACCAATGAGCATTAGTTGCCTGTACATACAGTACAATCACATAACATAGTGGCACTTTTTCCTCTTTATACATAAATCAAAAATAGTCTATGATAATAGCTTTACTGAATTGTAAAGCAAAAAAAAAAATTCTCATATATACACCTTAAACCTTCTTGTTTGGTCTTTGTACTAATTTTATTTTCTGTTATTTTGTTAGTTTGGGTTTATGTGGCCATAGAGTACAGAGTAATGCTGAGGAATTTAAAAAGCCATTGGTGGTTGCTTATTACCAAGTTGACTATGTCAAGAATACTAAAGGAAGCAATTATTGGCGAAACAGGTAATTTATAATTATTTCTTTAGAATTTACTATAGTCATAAGTATATATTTGTTATTATTCAAATTAAATAATTGAGTCCATTTACATTTGTAAAAATGGTGCATCTACTTTTGTCTACAAAAAAAACTTTAAAAGTGACTTATTAATTGCTTGTCACTTGATTTCTGTATGTGCAAGAAGAGAATTTGAACTTTATAGAAATTGCTGCAGATCAGTTAAATTGCTAAATTTTTAATTTAGACAAATAGAAATTAAATTCTAGAAGCAATTTAAATTAACTTTGGACTTTTACTAAAAAAAGATAAACTAAAATGAAAATCTACTTGTTTAAGCACGGCTCAACATTGCCATTTAAAAAAAATAATGAATTTTCCTAATAAAAGACCTTGATTACATTGACCTCATTAAATTTTTTTTTTTTTTTTTTTTTTTAAGAATGATTGAGAAACAAGTTCAGAAAACAATTTTTAATTATGAAAAGTTGGATTTTAAATTGACTGTAGGGGAGAGTGGAAATATTAATATCTTCAAAAAATTTTCCAAGAATATAAATTTATGTAAATTTTCCATAAAAAATAACTGACAACAGAATTTTAAACCTGTTCAAAATAGATGTTGGTTAAAATCTCTACCACTATTTTTTTTGTTCTAAGCATTGTAGCTTTCTTAATGTAGCAAGATAATAATTTTATTAAATGTTGTGTAATAGGCTCTTTTTAAAAATGACAGGTCATAAAGAATGTGAATTTTTAGTAATGTGAAATATATATATTTTTTTTTTTTTTTTTTTCATAAGACAAAGATTTTCTCTACTTTTGTATATCCTTGAATCCTTGACTAACAATATTTTATGTTGGGAATTAGAAAATAACAATATAAGAGTATCTTGATTTTGTTAAAAAAAAAAAAATGCAAAACTGATTTGATCATGCTTTTATCTATATTTAAATTTAATCTTTATTTTTCAGAGTTATGAAAGTTGGAAAGAAATTAAAAGATGGTGGTATGGATGTTAACTTTGCTATTTGTAACAATGATGAATTCAGTTATGAGCTCAGTGAATTTGGCATTAATGATGTGACTGGTAACAAACCTGTTGTGACTGCTCGAGATTCCAAAGACAGAAAATTTGTCATGAAGGCAGAATTCTCGTAAGCATCTGTTTTTATCTACAGCTTTAATTTACAAATTATCTTAGTATGGTGTAAATGATTTCTGTGGTGATTATAATGCAACACTTGAATTGTTATGTAAAGTTCAAGCAGAGAACGATTCATTTTTCTCTCTTTCATTGTTTTATTTTGAATAAACTCTCATTGAAAGTTGTCTAACCATTTTCAATTTAAAAAATGCAGATGCATTTAATTACTGAGAATAATAAAGTTATTTCTAAAAAATAAAAACTGATAATAATTAATATTAGATTTAAATTCTGATTTTTGTTAAGTGGGTTTTCATTTATGATTTGATTTCTTAGATATTATCTCTGGTTTGAATTTTGTAGGAATTATTTTACACTTTATATATACCTTATTTACTGCCTTTTGGGTTAGATATTTTGTTCCAGACCAAGTGAAACTAAAGTACTAAAGTGTGATGGTTAATAACCTTGGCTTGAGAGCCAGTTTGACAGTGATTTAATTCTCACCAGGTGTCCTAATGCATTGGCTTTATACCTGACAAGACAAAAGCTTAGTAAATAACAACAACCAATAAACAAAAACTTGTAATTGTCATACATTACCACCTGATTATTATAGAATTGTATTTTTTGTAGTATGGACAACTTTGAAGAGTTTGTGACTGATTTTATGGCTGACAAACTAGAACCGTACTTGAAATCTGAAGAAGTTCCTGAGGATAATTCAGAAGCAGTAAAGGCAAGTTGCACACACTGCCTTGCCTCCTTTTTTTTTTTATTTTTATTTTTTTATTTTTTATTTTTTTTTATTTTCCAATATTGTATTAACTATTTTGAAATTTTTGAGAATTAATCTTTCAATTTTAAGTTTTACATAGTCTTTGTTTATTGCAAGATGTTAGTTTAAATTATCAAGATTATACAAGCCAGTAATTGATATTTCCAGCTCTTGTTTATATTTGCTAATGTTGTTTACTGTATGAAAATTTAAAATATGTAGGATACCAATTAGCTCTGGTATAAATGAACTTTTTAATCATTACTGAATTGTATCAATACAATTTTTTTTTTTTTTTTTTTTTTTTGTGTAAAGGAATATTATTTCATTTGTGTATTTCTTTTTTAGGTGGTGGTTGCCAAAAACTTTGATGAAATTGTTAATAATAAAGAAAAAGATGTTCTCATTGAATTTTATGCACCATGGTGTGGACACTGCAAGTCTTTGGAACCAAAATATAAAGAACTTGCTGAGAAGGTTTGCAAAATTATAATTTAAAATTTTCATTATTGTTAATAACTATTGCAAGCATTTATGATTTTTAATATGAAATACATAATCTGAAAGAAGCGTGTTTCTTTTTCTTTTTTTTTTTTTTTTTAAATCATAAACGATGAATGTTATTCAATTAAATTGTAAAAGTTTAAATTTTTGTCATGACACTAAGCAAATCTTTAAGAATAAATCTTTGCTTTAACACCTTTTTGAATATTTTTTTTATTTATCTTATTAGTTAGCTGATGAGCCTGGAATTACCATTGCCAAGATGGATGCAACTGCTAATGATGTTCCAAAACCATATGAAGTTACTGGGTAAGAGGGGAAAAAAAAAATTTTTCAATCCTAAGGATCTTTTTATTTTTTTCTTAGTTGCCATTTGTATTTGGCTGTTATAAATTGTGGTTAAAAACATATTATACTAGGTATTCTGTTTTTATTATTATTATTATTATTATAAACACATTCTCTTTAACTCTGTTCCTTTCATTATATATTGAAAAAGCAGAAAATTTTAATTCTTAACCCAGTAAATAAATTAAAATTATTGTAATGTATATAAAATAGTTGAAGATTTTAAACTTTAATATTTTTATTTGAATATTTTTCAGATTTCCAACTCTTTATTTCTCTCCTAAAAATTCTAAAGAATTTCCACAACGATATAATGTGAGTATTGATATTTATTGTGTAAAAAAAAAAAAAAAAAAAAGACTAATTCTTCTTTGATTAAAGTAAGGTAGTACTGGAAAAGTTCTTGATTGGAAAATAATGGGGTTGCCCACAAAAAGGTTTGGTTGTTAAATTTGGGGAAATATTAATTAAATAATTATGTTCTCCTTGTAAATATTACTGTTTTCTATATTATGTTTGATTCTGATTTTATGGGGATTACATTCTTAACTTCTATGTATGTTTTTATTAGATTTTAACCTTATAAATATATAATCCAACAGGTAGCTAAAATATTTCTTGAAAAAAATTTTACATGGCATATAATTACTTCTAATTTGCTTGCTTCCATTAGATTTTACTTTACTTTAATAAAAATATAAAATTATATGCCTTTTTTATTTAGACTGGAATGTTTTTCTTGCTTGTTAGGCTCAAGTCTTGAAAAAATTTTTTTTTTTTTTTTATCTAAAAAAAAAAAAAAAATTTGTTAAAAAGTAAACCTTAGTAATTTTTGTAGTACTAACTGGTTTATCAGCATCGGATTACGGAGTTAGTGGGTAGCCAAATGGGTGGGGAAAAGAGTCTCAGAAGGTGAGAAAGAAAATACATTTACCATTTTTATTTATTTTGTATCCGAATGACTTTTCGAATTATTTCCCTTGAATTGTCAGCTTTTTCACTAGTTATCAATTAATCCTTAAAAATGTCAATTATGAGTTAAAAATAATTATAGATGAAATTTAACAGTACACATTTAAGTTGAGAATATAAATTATTTCTGATTGTAATTTAAGAGTATAACTTATCAAATTTCATAAGTCTGCCTTAAAACCCCATAGCTATTCTTGTAATCTGTGAAAAAAAAATAACTAGAGGAGGTGCTTTGGATTAGATTCTAAAACTTTGTGCTATTTTCTTTTTCAGGGTGGCCGTGAAGTTGATGACTTTATCAAATATTTGGCTAAGCATGCCACTGATGGGCTGAATGGATTTAGCAGTGATGGAAAGAAGAAAAAGAAAACGGAATTGTAGAACGTTTTATCACTTTTTTCCCCTCAGTACATTTAAGTTTATCAATTTATTTCTAAAAATCCATTTGGGGGCCTCCATTTACTTTTTTTTTTTTTTTTTTTTTTTTTTTTCCTCTCCATCCGTTCCATTCTGTCTTGGTGGTCTATTCTTCAGTACCATTGTACTGTTCATGGTATGAGGATGTAAATGTTCATTAATTAAAGTATAGAGAGAGTTTGGAAAATTTTCAACTCTAGGTGTGAATGAAAAATGATCTTATACAATATAATTGTATACTTAATTTTTGCTAATAAAACTTTTTTTTTTTTTAAAAAGATTTTTTTTTTTTTTTTAAATTGAAATATAGTTTACTTTCTTCTTCAGAATATTTGAAATTGGTATGGATAGTTATTTTTCTCAAGTCAAATTTCCATTTAAAATTTGATTTACTATATTTCCAAATGTTTTTATTTTTTATTTTTTTTTTTTTTTTTATAAATCAGTAAGAATATAAACCTGTAGATATGTGCATAAAAATGTGCCAAAATAAAGTTTCTGGTCAGACAAAATGGAATAAAGTTGTAGCAACTGCTTTCTTCTGTTTTCAACTGTTGGCAGCTTCATTAGGAAAATGTTTATTCTTATGCTACTTGCAAAAATAAATAAAATAGCTCCTTGATATGTGAAGTAACTTCATATTAGTGAGATAGACTCCGCTGTCAAAATTCCCTCCCCCACTCTCCTTTTTCTTGTGCTGTTTCAGTATCAGATACTTTGAGAAATACACTTTGTTACTGACAGTTGGATAAGAGTAGGTGACTGATCTATGTATGTTCTTGTAACTACCTTATTGCCTTGACAATACATGCAGTGATGAAACCTTCTTGGCCTGATCAGTGACCTAGAACTATGAAATGCAAATACTATTTCACATGTTCTTGAAGTTCAATAAACTTTACATGTCATTTCACATTAAATTTCTTTAATTCTTCCTCAGAAAAATATTCTGATATTTGGTCTTTGAATCATGTCCACATCATTTGGCAATTTTTTTTTTTTCCTTTTCAATTTCCTTTTCAATTACTTTTTAATGTTTACTTAACACAAAATTGTCAGATGAAGCAGGATAGTGAAGGCCCATTGGAATAGTGAGGTTGAAAAAATTATTAATAAAGAGAAAAATCCATTAGTAGTTCAGCATTTTGTTTGTCATATCAGTCTTGCTGTATGACCAAGTCTATTTATGGACAATTTCCTCAAAGATGAAGAGAAGACTTGAGGCAACACATGTCCTACAGAAGGATACTGAGAAATAAATGGTTGAGGTGTCACTTTTTCTTTCCAGCTGATAGTCAAATTGGCAATCTATTGGCCGTTTCCAGTTTGCATTGTGTAGTTTAGATCCTGAAAAAGATGAATCCAACAAATTTGCCAGATCTCTGGAACAAGACTAAATTGACCGCACTAGTTGAATTACAGTAGTATAATAAATAATTTCTGCCAAGCAATAAGTTAACTCTTATAAGCAATAACATGTTGGCAGCATTCACTATTATTGGTACTGCTAGTAGATCACATAAGTTCTCTGTGCTTCTATTTGGCAATGTACTTGTTGGGGGCTGCTGTAATTCAGTGGATTCTGGCAAAAGAGCCTGTGTTCTGACAACTGTCTTCTGATTTCTACTGTTGATTGTCTCTGATGACTGGCACATCTGAATAAATAGGATTTCTGCCAAATATCTCCCAGCTATTTTTCAGCCTGACTGGTCAATTCTGAACACGTCATTTTTCAAACGTAGATTTCAACTGGTCAGTATTAAACATGTGATTTTTCTGAAGTTGGACCCTCTCAATATCAGCACCCATACAGTTTGGAGATTCTCCAGTTTCTTGCGCACAAGCATTTACCGTGTCTTTAGTGTGCTTCTAGCAATATCATAGTTTTGACAATTCTCAACTTTTGACTTTGTTAGTCAAGATACTTATTTCAAATTTCGGTTATTGCCCTATAGTCACAACTGTGAGTGAACACACTTCCTCTATCTTGTGGGGAAATGATATTTTCCTATTTTAACCTTTTCAAATCATTCACTGAAAGTTTATAGTTTTCCAAAATTGGCAATATTCTCAGGTTATGTCAGGTTATATATAACTGAACAACTTTTCTCTCCCTACAAAGAATGTGTTTTTTTTTTTTTTTTTTTTTTTTGATCAATTACTGTTTGTTTTGAAATAATTCTCTTGCCAGATAACATGCAGATAAGATGACAGTTATATTTCTTTCATACATATTTGTTCACATCAATATTCCCTTTGGGAGTGTAAAACTGGTGAAATCTATGATTCACAATGTTTTCCTTTCTTGTCCGAACTTGTACAACAAGAAATTACACTGAGGATTTTTATGATGAATACAGTTCATTCTTTTGCAAAAAGTATATCGCCAATTGTTTCTATAAATACTTATAAGAGATAGATGTCACATCAGCAATTGCACAAGAAAAAGTATCACCACTGAGAATAGTGTTCGAGGCCACCAAAAAATCATAACAATTTTTGATTTACTTACTAAGATAACATTGGATGTGAGTTTAGAATTAAATTTGCTTTCTTTCACAAACTAAAAGTCATTATTTAATGTTAGGGTAACTGTTGTGTTACAAAAAAGTCAGTTTTTTCACATTAAAATGTTATTAAGCAACTGATATTTCTAAAATGTTGAGGATATAATTTTGGAGTTTTACAAGAAATTATTTTTTTTTCCTCACAATTTGTTTTTCATATAAAGCACTCCAGGGGCACTTTGGCTACATTACTTATGAATCAGTAGTGAGTTCAATCCTCACTGAGTTCTCCTTTTGGCCTTGTGCCATATCTAGGCTAGGCTTAGTAAATTGCTATATTACACACTTCAGATCATGAATATAAATAAGTTCTCAAATTTTATAAAAGATAATAGGGAGATCAAGTTTGCTATGTAAATTAATTGTAAAGTGATTCCCCTACAGAAGCCAAAACAACATATGCTCATGTGATGGGACTCCTTAAAATATAAAAAAAAATAAATATTTTTTGATATTTGTAATCTGGTGTGCTTAATTGATAATAAAAACAAAAATAAGCTGAAACTCAGATGATAAGTTGCTCATATAATTGTTTTATCCTGAAAATTTTACCAATATTTAAGTCTTTGTTGGGTTTTGTTGCATTGTTCAAATTATAACTGGCTACGATTTTGGATGGTCAGATTGGAAAAAGATTTTCTATTTTGACACCAAAGTAGTAAAGTACTAGATTCTTCTTTCAGCATTTGGAGATTGTAGCTGGGAACCTTTAATGTTATTCTTAAATGACTGGACATTGAGGCCTAGAAGCCATCAATTATTGTCTCACAGAGAAGACTGGCATGATAGAGAGAGACTGGTTACATCACTGCAGCTTGCACAGATCTCAGAAAAAAATGACATGATGCTTTACCATCTACTACTACTGTGGAATACGAAACCTTAATTGTCTTGTTCATCACCTCTGGTCATAGAATTCAGTTAGATGTTGGGTTATAGCAGAATTTCCTTCACCCTGAATTTCTGTTGCTTTTAAAAAAAAGTGGTGATATCACAGGGGAAATTTGAAGAAGAACAGTAGATTGTGGGTGAAAAAAGTGCAAAAAGGTCTAAGGAGTGGGATGTTCAGTCGCTTTGGGGGTCTGCATTTGCTGATGTATACAACCCCCCTCAGTTAGGCAATGCTGGTTCTGGTAAGGGGGAAAAGAAAAAATAAAATGTAATGACAAGGCAACTTCTTCCTGCAGTCCTGTTTTGCTTCAAAGCAATCCCCATTGTCACCTGTTACTGCTTCCAGTATATCAGCCAGAAATACAAAAGAAGAAAATTTTAAAACTACAAGATGCAACAGAAATACCTCCCACATAATGGTAGCATTAATGGTTTCTTCATCTAGCTAATGTTTTACTATTATGTAGGAGGTATTTCTGCCATATCCTGTACAACATTGGGAAAGAACATATGTTGCCTTGGATAGTCTGGAAAGAAAGAAAATGCAGCATTGACAAACTTGAGTTCTTTACAATTTCTCAAGTGTCCAGCGGCTGCTGACCATCTTCAGAATTGGTCTGGGAAACCTACAAATTGTTTTATTCTCCTTTTTACATGAATTTGTAATTGGTAATTGTTACATGAAGAATTTAGAATAAATATGCTGTTAGGGTGAAAAAAAATAATGAACATAGTTTAGATTTTTAAATGCAACCAACAAAATTAAGTACAGGAAATTAAAAGTTTGACATCTTTTAATTTCCATAATTTTTGGCCCTGTGCCACATTTATATGGTTTTCCTATAAATTGAGTAATATCAAATTTATTGCGAAAATATTTACATCATAAAATCTGATGAAAATAGTGATTGCAAGTCAATATTTCTTTGTCTATTAAATTGATTAAAATCTTTTGAATTGGAAATTTTTATTGAAACATATTCAAAAAATCTGTATTGTCATGTTTGTTCATTAAAAAATGTATTTTGAGAAAGGGGTAGGATTGACAGTTTTTCACCTTTTTGTATTAAACCGAGGAAAAGGATCAGTTATTTACAATTTACATATTGTATATATGGGTTATCTTCACACAGCTTTTCCAGTTTTGTCAAGAAGTCATAAGATAACACTCTCAAGCATTTTAAAAACAGGACACTTCTCTCTCTTTTTTTTTGTCCAGCATGCTGTAGTGACAACACCCACTGGGACCTTCCCAGGTATGCAGATATCTTTGTCCTTAGTGACTGAACTTACAAACATATTTTAACCACAGGAACCACTATTTCTGGCTATACTATTGTGACAGTTTCCATTACAACAGGTGCCTATTTGTGGCTGCATGTAATAAATGTAAACGTGTCCTCAAAGTAACTAAGTCTCTGTCTGCTGAGACAATGAGGCATTGTATTGTCTCTAATAACTTTGGCTCTCGTGATAACCGGTGACTGTGTATTAAATAATAAATAA